AGAATTCCCCAGCCAGCGAATGCTGGCTGGGGAATTCTGGGAGTTGAAGTCCGGACATCTTCAAGTTGCCAAGGTTGAGAAACACTGGTCTATATAACTGTATGCTTGGTTAAGTCTGCCTTTTCAAACCCGGCGTGTTAGAACGGCAGCTCCACCATTCCCAGAATTCCTCAGCCCGGCAGCCATTTTAGAAGGCTGCCTCAGAATTCTGGGAAATGCAGTCCCAATCTGTCAGGAAGGCACCACCATATTCGATTGGGTTGGGGGTGGCCACGTTGACGATTGCCATTCTCCAAACCTTGTAGGTTTATAGAAAAGAGCCTTCCCCATAATTTATTTATTTATGAGCCACGGTGGTGCGGTGGTTAGAGTGCAGTACTGCAGGCTACTACTGCCGGCTGCCTGCAATTTGACGGTTCAAATCCCACCAGGCTCAAGGTTGACTCGGCCGTCCCATCCTCCCGTGGGGGCTAAAATGAGGACCCAGATTGTTGGAGGCAATAGGCTGACTCTGTAAACCGCTTAGAGAGGGCTGTAAAGCGGTATATAAGTGCTATTGCTGTTTATATAAAATTCATTTGCCGCTCATTTCTTATCCAACAACTCTGCTACTTGGTCCTTTTCCACGGGAGTTTGAGGACTGAAACCTTTCACTTACAAAGGAAAATCGATCCGGAGGGAGGAGGAAAAAACAAAGAGTAACCTTTGTTTCTAGAAGTGACTTTCCGGCAAGGAAGAGCAACATTAGGTTCCTCTCCAGATGACTCAGAGGAGGGGAGCCTCGTGAAGATGCTGATCATTGCAAGGTTTCTGGTTTTCCCAGGGATAGGAGAGAGCAGGAAGATTGGCTTTTGGGGATTATGGCACCTTGTCTGAAAAAGGGTTGGGGACGGGGGTCTCACGAGTCCTCCCGTCCATCCTTGTCCCTGCTTAGCATCTGTTTTTTTTTTGCTTTTGCAGGTAGACTGCACCTCAAGAAGTAAAAGTTCGCCCAGCAGCAGCCCTTCTCAGGCCTCTCGGACCCGGAAACACGGCGCCGTGATAGAAAGCTTTGTTAACCACGCCCCTGGGGTTTTTTCGGGAACGTTTTCTGGTACGTCTGCATTACATTTCTCTGTCTGCCCCATCAGAGGACATATGGGTAGAAGGGAATACATGCTCTGATTTGATCAGTGTCACCATGCCAATTTTAAGATAGCTTTGCTGGCTGGGGAATTCTGGGAGTTGAAGTCCACCTATCTTAAAATTGGCATGGTGACACTGATCAAATCAGAGCATGTATTCCCTTCTACCCATATGTCCTCTGATGGGGCAGTCAGAGAAATGTAATGCAGACGTACCAGAAAACGTTCCCGAAAAAACCCCAGGGGCGTGGTTAACAAAGCTTTCTATCACGGCGCCGTGTTTCCGGG